TATATATATATATATATATATATATATATATATATATATATATATATATATATATATTGACGTGTAATAATCCATGTTGAAGATAAATATGGTCCTATAGTATGGAGGTCAACCATACATATAGGAATTGAGGGAGAATGTCACGTGGATAACTCTCATTTAACACCATTGCATGGTTCATGCACTGTAGTTTAATGTCACTAGTTGGAAGCTTAAACAGTGAACATAGCAAGTTAGCATTCTTTAATAAGAGAAAGAGCTTCTAAGTAAATATTTGCAGGTCACGATTAATTAATTAAAACTACACTCTAATTACAGTGTGTATTAGTGTATAACTTAGATCCCATGGGGAATAACGGTTGGGCTCTTTTTCCTTTTCTTTCTTCTTATTAAAAAGTTACAAATGCTTATGAGCTCTATAACTCAAAATAACACATTATATTATCTTGAAAAAGTTACTAGTAAAAAATTCTAGAGATCGACACACTCTAAAATTAAAAAGGAAAAAAAGGAATATATATATATATATATGTATAAAAAGAACGATGCTAAAGTGCTCATATTTTGTTCCCTTCTACAGAATTGGTTATGAAAACCTTAAAAAGTGCAGATACCCAATTTTAAAGCTGTTTGTTGTCGCCTTTACAACAGATTCTGGTATAGCCAAACCATGAGCAGTTGGGTTTTGAAAGTGAAAGGGCGAAAGATTTCGTAGTGATCACTAATTCTGTGGTTAATGAGATTTAATGTGTGAGAACACTTCGAATTAATTTAAAAAATGTATTATTTCATTTTATTATAGTTTATAAAACTTTTAAACGTTGTAAACACGTCGATAGCGTCCCAAAAAAAAAACTTTGCTTGTAAATTACTACCATTTCCGTCTATATAACAGAAGAAAAGGTAAAGGCAGCCGGTTGGGGTGGTTTTTTTCAGTTTTTAAAAGCATAAGAATACAAAAAGAAAAGATTAAAAAGTGCAAATATTTTGTTGCTTCTTTAACAATTTCTAAGCTGCTTAATGACATAAACAGAAAGGGTTGACAAAACAGATAAATAGGATTTTGACTTGCAAAAGCAAATTAAAGTGTGGGCATCTTGTGTTTCCTTGAGATTGAGAAGTGTAGTTAGCGTGGTGTGTGTGTGTTAACACGTGCCCATTAATCTAGTGATTGGATTCAACTTGAGCATAATTTGAATAATTAATCTTTTTATTCACTTTCAATTTGTCATGCTATGTCTGTACAATATATTCAATACTCTTTTTGAGTGTCAGCTTAGTACTTTGATCATCTATAGTGGAATAATAATAACATCCACGGATATATATTAAAATAAAAAATTTATATCTGTCGGTACCTGGGATGCATTAAGGCCGTAAGAGAAAAGATTTGGACCTATTCCAACTTGATTAGTTCAGTAATTTCCATGAGAAATATTATTTTTTTTAAATCTTTTTGCATAACTCAGAAATAATATATCTGAAACTGTATGTTTTTTTCCTTTTAATTTGCTCTTCTTGTCTCTTGCTAGGACGATGCAATTATGGTACCTATACGGGTGGGAGGTAGCAGATACGATAAAATAATCGTGCAAGCTGGTTTAATACTACGGTTATCAAAAAAGTAAAGATACTAGATTCAAACGTGCAAATGACACCGGGTAGCCATTTTAACGGGCTGCTATTTAAGAATTAGCCAGTGCATCCAGAATTTCCGCTTTTCCATGCATCCAAAATTTCAGCTTTTCCGGTGCGTCCAGAATTTCAGCTTTTCAGTTCAACTTTTCGGGACAAAAATGTCCTGAATTGTCCCGAAGTTGTTTAAGGACAAAATAAGAAATGAGCTACTGGCTAATTTCTAAATAGCATCCATGGGAATGACTATCTGTGCACCTGCCCCGATTCAAACTAGACAAGCAGACTCCAAGATTTTCAACTTAAAGAAGGCAAAAGGAGAGTTCTTAGAATAAAATGGGAAGCCAAACCATGATTTGTCCCAGTTCATGAAGTTTTGACTAAATTCCTGATGTCACTGTTTTTGGCTCACAAATAGCCCACCTTATTGAGCACTTTGTAGGGTGATGAATCTAGAGGAGAAAAATGGGGCTGCTGGGAATTAGATAAACAGCACTATGGAACAAAGCCCTGCACCAAACAAATGGCAAAAGGCTGATTATACTAAGAGTTCATACCTATGCACCAACCTCCTTTTGCAACAGCTGAAAAGAATAACACGGAATTCAGCCATCAATTGAGGACCAACGTCAATCTCCAAGTAGTGGTACCGACCTACATGTAGGGGTACAACTTACTCAAGGAGAGGATTAAGGATGCTACCTGCAAACAATACCACGCCTGTTCCATCTTCTCTAATCAGAAAGAGAAACGGATGATCAGCAATGAAATCTACTTTCTCTCCTGAATGAGACCTTAGGCCAATCTCATCAGTGATTGCAGCAGCACCTTTTGTGCCCTCTTCATCTATCTCAATAACGGACTTATGAAAGATGCTATCAACAAACAGGCCCTTGTTACAAATGGTCTCCACCATCTCGGTGAGGGCATGGCCAGAGAAAGGCGATACCACGCCTAGCCCTTTCAGAATTTCAGAAGCTTCAAATCCAAAAGATATTTTAAATTTGGGGATACGAAATTCAGGAACTCCAACCTTCGCATATGGAAGGTGACGCTCCAAGAATTCGGAGTCTGAAGTGACTTTTTCCACCAGGCCTGGCAGTCCATCATTCGCATCAGGCAGAAAGAAATACATGGAGAAATGACGCCTATCCAAGCCACGTTTATAAGGAAGCCTCAACATCTTGAAGCCTTCATAAGCTTTTACATATCGCTTGCTCTGGCAAGTCATGAAGGGCACTTGAACGGAGGTCCCATTGAGAAGGTGGAATTCACTGTTCTTTGTCATTGATGCATTGAACTTCTCACTCCAGACACCTTTGAAGTAAAGTGAGTTTGCAAAGACAAGTCTGGTTAAATGGTCAACTGCGTCAACAGGTAGAATTTCATTGATGAGACCGGCTGTCTCCTTTTCAGCCCATTGATTCACTTGATTGACCACCTCAAGAGGCTACATTACCATCAAAAATTTGTAAACCAAATATGTTTTTTCTTTAATAACCATTGTAAAACAAATATGGAGTATATGCAACGGATTCTATCTAAGTTTCCTTTTATTTATTTCTAACCTTTTTTCCTGACAGAGGTCAGAAGAACTATCAAAGCTAATATTGCTAAGACCCTAAAAATGAATTCGAAGAATATAGCATGCCTCCTAAGAAATGAATTTAGAACTTCTTAAAACAGCAAAGACGAACTCTACTGAACTACCTAATCAACGGTAGGAGTATTAAAAAACTAACCTTGGACGCAAAATCAACAGAAAGAGAAGTAGCCTTGTAAACATTGTCCACAATCTGTGTGAAAGAAGGCTTCAACCTCGCAGACTGATCGACCCAGACGCTGTTAGCGGCAGACAAACGAAGGCCACCATTGGGGCTAGCATCAAGAAGGACACAGTCGACGAGCTGAGAAGAGAGATAGTTGATTTCATCAGTAGAATTGGATTTGAGGAAAGAGAGAAGCTCGTCGCGGCTTGGACCAGCTGAACCCGCCGTCATGAGACCCAACACTACTTGCATCAACAACGGAGAGAAGACCATGTTACTTTCCCCTTTGTGAACCGCCGTTGGGAGAACAGGATTGGCTAAGGTTAAGAATGCATCTGTTTGTTTCCTGGTCGATCCTTTTGCTAGGGACTGATGGCCTTCAAAATCGCTGAAGAATACATGCCTTGCAAGCTTCAAAGAGACATCCCTATGCTGCTGAAACAGACTCCGGAGTTGAAACATAATATGGGTGACCTATGAAGTATAAGAGGTAGTTTTGCACAAATAATGCGGAACAAAGGTGTATTAATAATTCAAGTATTAGTTAGCAAATATTATTTTTTATTAGTAATATATGGGTTAATAATTCAAGCATTATTTGTGCACATATTATTTTTTATTTATTGTTTGGTGAGCTGTATTAAAATACTAATGCATTGCATAATCTTTAAGAAAAATAGTTGTTTATAAAAATGCGATACAAGCATTAGTTATACAGCTATTATTTCTTATCTACTATTTAATATGGTATTTTAAAATTATAATACATTAAATAATTTTTAAGAAAAATAATTGTTTACAAAAATGCCCTCCATATTCTCTGGTTTTAAGGGACTTTAAGAATAATTTTGTCTTTAACCATACTAATGCATGTATTAATAACTTTGGTATTACTAATGTCATGGTTTTCTATACATTACTTATACATTGAATAATACCAAGTATGATACAAGTATTAATTATAGTGAAAACCAAACCAAACCAACTAATCGGTTTGATTTTTTTTAGTTAAAACCAAACCAACCAATTATAGTCGATTTTTTTTTCCAATACCAAACCAAATCAAATCAAACCAAATATTTATTGCCGGAAAATTATAGTGTGTATAAGTTAAAATTATTTTTTATATACATATTAAATTTTAAAATTCTTGAACACTCTTTGCAAAATTCGTAAGACGTTATTTTGTTCATTTCCTGCCTACATTCCTCTAGCAACTTTCAAAAACTAAAAAGCCAACAACATAAGTTTCTTTCTTTTTTGTTAAGTTTCCTATTTTAATTTTATCAACCAACTGGGGCGGATCCACATCATCGAGTATGAGTTCCTCGAAACTCAATAGTTTTTATCTAAATTCGATATTTGTATTAAGAAATTTATTAGATGTATAAAATCCAAATATTTAGATGGGAACTCAGTTGTTCTTAGTTTTTTGCTCATTTGGAACCTAGGTTTCTCACTTCTCTGATGCGAGTTCGAATCCGTTTAAGCACTTTTGACCTTTTCCTTTTGTTTTTATCACAAAACTGGTCCTACTAGCTACACTTAATTCTATTTCTGTTTTTGTCTTTTTGTAAAAACAACATAATAAATGACTATAGTCAAACTAATAGTAATGTGTTTATATTTATATATTGATTCGTTAGTTTTTAAATACACACTGTTGCGTTTGTATAAAGGGATGTGAATGGGAAATGGAAGAGGCACCTTTTGGATTGCACCTCTCCATATCACTCTTCCTTTGTCTGTGAATTTAGAGGCTTGGCTTTATTTTTCAGACATGAAATCAGACATAGAAAATCTGAAATCTTCTCTCTTCTTTTCTACATTGTTGCATTATTTTCTAAATAAACATAAGTGTCAAGTGTGATTTGTTCCGCTTGTTGAGTTCGTTTAAGTTCTGTGATTTGAAGTGTCGCTATCACAGAATAGTTATTCCGTTCTATCCTGGGAGGAATTAATCCGTATACCTTGGACAATAGTGAAGGGATTAAATTCCTTAAGGACACACTGTGAATTCAGTGGGCTCGGAATTATTTTTGCATTTTCTGTTCTAAGTTCTATTTTTCTGAGTTTCCGATTTTCTAATTTTGAATATGGTAATATCAACACATACGAAATATCACTACTCATTCATTAGTCTGATTATTATGATATATTGACTTGAGGTTGTTTTACAATCTCATAGGCTTCAAATCTTAGATCCAGACTTTGCAACCAACTACCTATGTTCCTTGCTTCAAGTTTAATATCTTTACGCGGACATCTCATTATACCGGCCATTAGAACAGCAATTAAAACAGAGAATTAGTATTTTTTACATTTTACAACAAAAGGAACATGTTACAGGAGCACTTGGAAANAATGAAGGTTGGATGCTAAACCAGATGAACAAATGTTTGCAACTTCATGTCTCATCTTCTTTGGACCACACACTAGAACTCCAACACTTGATTCTTTCCTCTCAAAAAGAATCCCTGCATCAAATTTACAACTTTTTTAAAGGAGAGTTGTTCAAATTGTAGCAGGTAAGAGTTCTATTAATTAGTAAAAATTAGGCAATTTTTTTTTATTCTATAGCTAAATGATCTTGGGATTTAAGTTATAGACACTAAACGCAAAGAAAAGATTGTACGCCAGCCATTAGTTTAATTTAACTGATTAAAATAGGTTATTATTCTATTTTTCATATTACTGTATAAACTTGATATATGACCATTGATATCTGGGGATACTTTATTCAGTACTCTATATTTTTTGGATGAACTTACTTTTAAGGTCAGGCCTTTCACCAAAATGGAGATTAGTTGACTGAAGAAGTGATTGTTGGGGCAAACTCTCCATCTCCTTATCAGCATTATAGAACCAAGAATTAGGTGAAGACGTTGGAGTTGCACCTTCCATGTTCTGAATTTGTTTGGCGTCCATGCCACTGCGTCTCTTGTTACACACAAATGCTGCAGTACTTGTGATGACTATGGAAATGCAAATGAGAAGCATATTCAGCACCGCCTTTATCGGATAAGAGTAAATGTCATTGGTATTTTTATCAATTGGATAGATGTAATATCTATTCAAAGCCCCCAAAGAAATCAAGAAAATGATGAAGGAAGATGATATGATAGCACCAAGCCAAAGCCAATTGTTCTGGCCAAGAATTGGAGTGATTGGCTGATCAGATGGGTTGGGTTTGAACCATATGGTCCTCAAGTGCTTGTTGTCTTCTGCTAATATGGGTTGCTTTTCTCTTGTTACATAAGCCTCAATTTGTAGGCCTAACTTAGATGTTTCTGAAGGGGCACCACTAATGGGAAGGAGAAGGTCTAACATGGTGAGGTCTTGTGAGTTCTTGAACACACTTAAGAGTAGGATTTCTGGTGTCTTGCATTTCTGTGATTCACTTGTGTGGATTAGCTCCCTTATAATGGATATGAAAGGGGTGATTCCACTCCCGCCGCTCACCATAATCAATAAATCATGCCTGCAACAATGAAATGCAAAAATGTTTTTAAATGTATATATAAAGTAACAATAAGATCACATCCATTCTGAATCCACTGACTCTAAATCCCTCGCTCTGCTGCACAATATAATAGTTTCAATCATGTTAAGTTTGTCGCATCATCTCATGTGGCAATATCACTAAATTCATTACCAAACTGACCATAAAGTATTAAATGGCTATCCCTCCCTGCATCTACTGATGGCATGTATAGTAGTCAATTGAACAGTGAAACTTACCATGTTCCTGAACTCTAATGAATCTAATTATGTACCATAATTTAGAGGACAAAATAAAACTATCTCTATGTTATCTTTTTCATTCATACCTTAGGAAATGTGTGGAAGGAGGTCCATAAGGTCCTTCAACAGAGACATTAAGACGATCGACAGAATTAGGGGAAGAAAGCGTCTGGTAAAGCTTCTTTGACCAACTTCCTTCACCCTTAATGACAACACTGAGCTTATCTGCCTCCAAACTGCTGCTTGAAGTGATTGTAAAAGGATGCCATTGCATTTTTGAAATGCTAGGTACATTCACAAACATGATGCTAGTTGGTGTATATCGTAAACCTGCCAAATAAAGGAAAAGAGAAGTGCTCAAACATGTTATTCAGAAGACTTAACATTCTACCTCGATCGATGCCAATATAAATGATGTTAGTTGCTTCAGTTACCTTTACTCTTGGAGAAGTTTAGCTCAACAGTTTCACATGGTAGAACTCGAGCTGAGACCAGACGAACATTTGATCGCGACTGTAAGAATCTCAAGTATCGATCAACCATGAAGAGGTAGAAACCGGGAAGCATAATTCCAGCATAAGAGACGCCAACATGGAAGACAAAGAAGACGACGAAGAGGATGTAGAGGTGATGAGTGTAGAAGAAGAGTTCAAACATCTTTCTCCTAATGCGAGGGAATGTTGCAATCCACAACACCAATCCAGAAAGCAATGACAACTCTCCAGCCAAATTTGAGATATCAGTTTTTGCCCATTTAAGCATCTGTTTCATTTCGATCAAGATACTTCACTAATTAGAAATTCACCAAGAATTGGACTTGGTTGTGTTTTAGTATATTTTCAAGATAAATCCAAAAAAGGTTTAGTAATATACTATTTAATGTGATTCTACTGTAATTTGTGTACATATTTTTTTCCATTCATCTGTTGTCAGTGACTTGTGTTGCAATTTTTATTTCAAATAAGAAGAATTCACCTAAATATCCACTCACTCAACCGCTCAAATAACAAAATAACATGTATAATATAAGTATAGTCCTATATATAATAGTGAATCCGATCGGTAACAAGCTTCCTATAATAAACCGCAAACTTGTTCTACATATCTTATTTTTCTCAAAATGTCAATTATTGTTGCCCCTTTGAGTTGTCTATTTCTTTAAAAGCAAGGACCAGTTGACATATATCACAAGAAAAGAAAAGGAATAAAAGGTCAGTTCTTTTATACACGACATATTTTCTTTAAAAAAATTTGGACCACTGGAACACTTAAAGAGTTGACTACATGGAGATCCAAGAAGTTTGCTCTTTCCTATTTTATCTCTCGATTAATTATTTTATTATTGAACGTGTCATTCTAAATATGGGAAGTACGTACTATTCTGCTTTTCTTGCTAACAAAGACTTGACGTATTGCAATGGAACGAATATGTGATATAAGGTTAAAGTTGAGACAAACCCCACTAAATTATTAAAAAATTAACAAGCAAATAAACAAAGCACAATATAATATCACTTTCTGTTTTTCTTGATATCTTTTATGTTCACTCCATCAAATGTGACCTCTAGCTTTACGTCATAATTATATCATCATAAACTAGTTGTGTGTCTGTTCATCTCCCTTATATATTGTAATATAATTATTAAAGAATGAATAGAGGTGATTGCTATTAATATAATCTAGGTAATTAAATTAATTTACCTCAGACAATTGATGAGTGGCAGCCCAATAGATAATGTAACAAATGCCATGAGCAGAGAAAAGAGTCATTACGATATGACCAAGCCATATATGGTATTTAACACTTGCTTCAGAAGTCAGACCAAAGACTTGCAGCACTGAGGAACCTCTTGTGACTGGAACAAACAGAAACGTAAGAGCTATATTTCCAACAAGTCCTAACCTCAGGGCTGAATCTTCCAACTTGGCTTCCCATCTGTCATTACCAATTCAAAATAATAAGAAAAAGTGTCATTTAAATGGTAACAAATTAAGTCAATGCCGAATCCAAAATTTAGATGTTTTTTTTCAGAAAAAAAGCTCTCAAATATATATCTAATTCAATAATTTTTGTTCCACTGTTGCTACTTACTACTATTAAAAAGAGTCAGAGAGATTTTCCTTTGACCATAATTTTTAAAATGATTTAAACTTTTTTGAATTGTTAATTATTGTGACTTATATATAGCAGGGGTATTATTTTTATGCAGTTGCAACATCTATATATTATTAAAGGAAAATTGAAAATTCTACAAACCTAAAACTAAGGAGTGTGACTCGTACTTTGAATCCAACAGCACAAAGTGAACCATATATAGTGCGTACTTATTCTTCGCACTAATATATAAGGTTAGAATTCGATCTCAAAACGCTAAGTTCTGCCAAACTTATGGTTAGGAGTGTTTATATGTCGGTTCAAATGGATTTTTGTTTATGAAAAATTAAAGTAAATATTGAACAAGTTTTATCGATCTCGAATATTAGAGGATAACTTACACTTTCTCTCCCTTTTTGGCTACAGACTTTGGTGTAATAGTGGGAAAGATAATATGCAAGTAAGACGCAAAAGTCCAGACTAAAAGTGCGATGAACATGACGAAAAAGCAAAGCTCAATCCTTGAAACAATCCCTAGCCCCTTCATGATTATCGGCCTCCTCCATATTGTCAACTTTTGT